TCATCAGCCACTCCTTGGAAACCCTATACAGGGTTGTTAGGAATCAAAACCAACTCCAGGGCACTTAACAAAACAACAAATTATATATATATATACACATATATGATTATTTAATCAATCCTTGCTATGTTTCCCTTTAGAATATATATATAAGCTCCCTGAGGGCTTCTAATTGTTTCCTCAGTACCTAGAATAAAGTAGGTGTCATTAACCGGCACTCAGTCATTTAACAAATATTTTTTGATCACATATTCTGTGCCAGGGGCATCTCTGGGTTCTGGAAAAAATGGCAGCGGAAAAGTACATGAAAATCCCTGTCCTAGTTCCTGGGTGGTGCAAGCAGTTAACATGCTCAACAGATAAATTAAAGGTTAGAGATTCGCATCTACCCAGAGCCTGGTGATCTACTTCTGTAAAAGAAATCACTGACAACCTTATAGATCCCAGTTCTACTGTGACACACAAGGTCATCATGATCAGAATCAACTAAATGATTGCCAACTGATGGTTCTCTAGCATACAATTTAGTGGAAATGCCATAAGTTGTTGTTGTTTTGTGTTGTGGAGTTGTTTCCTACTCATAACGACCCTGTACAGGGTTTCCAACCCTGTACAGGGTTTCCAATCTTTACGGGAGCAGAAAGCTTCATCTTTCACCCATGGAACAGCTGGGAATTTGGAACTGCTGACCGTGAGGTTAGCAACCTGATTTGTAACCGCTATGCTACCAGAGCGTCTTCCATAAGTAGTTAATGAATTAATATAATCTTTAGTCAATAGTGGAGTCCTGGTGTGGTGCTATAGGATAAGCACTGGTCTGCTGACCACAAAGGTTAGTGGTTCAAACCGACTACATGCTTCTTGGAAACCCTCTGCTAGGATCATTCTAGTTGGTACTGTCTCCATGGCACTTAACAAGCCGAGAGTTTTTGTGGGTTTGTTTTTTCCCATTTTATTTTTTTTCCAAGTGGAAAAGAAACGGAGAGATGTGGTCAATTATCAGAAAAACCTATGGATGAACTATAAGTAATCCATGTAGTAAATTCATGTAGTAAGGTGAGCAGAGTTGTGCTCCTGGCCTTTGCAAAACCAGTGAGTTTGAACTATATGTGGATGGTTCTCAGTTGAAGGAGTCTGAACTAGAATTGAAATGTTTTGAGAAAGGGCTACTAGCCACTGCTAGTAAATGGCAGAAACCCATAGAATACTGTATTTAGAAGAATAAGTTTGGATCCAAAGTAACCAAAATTTTATTTTAGAGATATTCAGGTATATTTGCAGATGTGGTTAATTTGTAACACAGAATACAAATATTTGGTCCCATTCAATCACTTAAATTGTGTGTGTGTGTGTTTCAATTTTCTAAGGCTTAACAGAAGGATAATTAAGTAATTAAACATTATTTTCAAACAGTGGTCACAGATTATAATCACAAAAGACCAACTCTTTTTTCAAAGAGGGAAACCAGAAATTACATTTTCAAATTTTAGTTTCATTTAAGACAATTAGTTAGCAATTGTTCTTTAGCAAACAGTTCTTAAATATGAGCATATAAGGTAATTTTGGAGTCTCTGACTGGTGCAAAAGATTAACACAGTCGGCTGTTAACCACAGGTTGGAGGTTTGAGTTCATCCAGATGTGCCTTGGAAGAAAAGCCTGGTGACTGCTTCTGATAAATTTATCATTGAAAACGTCATGGAGCTCAGCTCTACTCTGATGGGGTTGCCATGAGTCAGATGTCAGGGAGTGGGGGCAGTGTTGAGGGGAAGTTAGTTAGAACACTACTTCAACTCTGGCCAAGCATGCTAACTTAAATTTGCAGCTCAAATCCATTTAGCTGGTCCTTGCAAGTCCTACACAGAGTGGCTTTGAGTTGGAGCCAACTTGATGGCACTCAGTAACAACATATATATATATATATACACACACACACTTACGCATGCATGTGTATATTTATATATTTGTAATATATATGTCATGTTTATCCAGGAAATGTGAAACAAACTGATAATAAAGTATCAAGGATGTGGCTCACAGTAGACTTAGTAGTTAGACAAATCCTATTACTGACATTCTGGCCACTGGGGGAAAGGAAAGGTTAAAGAAGTTCAGGAGAAAATAAAGATGGGCTTCACAACTTTGCAGGATTAATAGATCTGAGGAAGGACAGCTCTGTGAGACTAGAGTAAAAGAAAGTCCTAATCAATATAAAATCTCTGGTGCCTTTGTGCCAGGAAAATATACCAAATATAACCCTTTGGGTAAAGTCTCATCCCATACATTGTTGTTGTTGTTGTTAAG